TTGCACTGCGGGGCCGGGCAGCGATGGGGAAAGGGATCCCCACCGAATCGAGAGCAACCCAAGGCGAGACAGGATGGAAGCGACAGCTTCGCAGCTCCTCCTCCCATGCGAAACCAGTTTTGCCAGCAAGCCTGCTTTACCCTGAGCAACTTCTCAGCAGCACGCAGCGGGGGAAAAAAATCCCTGTCCTATTCTCCCTTAACAGCCCCCTTTTTTCTTTTTCTTTTTTTTTTTTTCCTTCATTAAATACTTGCACACAGCTCTTACTGACAGTAGGTGAGGAAAGAAAACCCCCCACAGCATTTACTGCTGATTAAAGGCTGGAATATTGAATATTGTATCTCCAGCTATTCAGAACATCTTAAGTATAAGGTAACGCACTGATGACAGAAATACATCATGAAATAAATCCGTCTGAGTGAGCGGCTGTGTCCAGTTCGTCCAGTTGGCATGGTGTGCAGTTAAACCCTTGCCCGTCGCTGCAAAACAAATCCCTGGACCCCAATTTCCTAGGAAGCAGCCGACCCGTTTGGGGAGAGCGGCGATAGTTTTCCCGACTCCACGAGGCAGAGGCCGCCCAGCCATCCCCCAGGTCCCGGATCAACCGGGACGACGGGACACGGATCAACACAGTCCCTGGGAAAAATCCCACCTGCAGCAAGCCCAGGAAGCAAACCTGCTCCTCGAGAGGGAGGACAAGACACGGCTTTTTGCCCCAACATGTATTTAAATACAAGTAACTTGCACCACGTTGGTCATAAACTACAGTATTTTATTTTTACCAAACTCTCAGTATTGCAGAAAACATGGCTGGAAGGAATTTAAGTTACCTAGCTATCAGGAATAAACTAAGCTCTTACAAGCTTCCAGTGATGCAAACCGTCTTCCCCAGCTAAATCCAGGGTTTTCCCATCCTGGCATACACCGAGCCGAAGAGCCATGGGAATAGCAGACGGGGGAGACGCGGAGCAGAAAAGCTTGCCATGACAACTAATTCATGCTCAGAAAAATTACGTTCGACAGCATTACTCTCCGGTTTTGTCAGGTTCCCTGATGAAGCAGCTTCAGAAAATCCTAGGGGCTGTCAATCTGCGGCAGAAACCACGTCAAAATTAAACTTACAGTTATCATCTTAACAGATGCTCCGCACGTTTTCTCGTGTCAGAAATCCTTCTCGGAGTCAATGTTATGACAGAGAAAGGCTGAAACCCAAACGCTTTGACACGAGCGCTGCTGCCGCCAGCAAACTGCATTACACAGCAGATAATCTTTGGGAATTTGTGTGTTAAGAAATGGAAAACTAAGAAAAAAAAAAAGCAGGGCTGCACTAAAAAAAAAAAAACAAAAACCTAAAACCCAGAGAGTTGGGTCTTTCCCAAGCAAAAGCATCTATCGCCGGGAAGCGTGTGCGCTGATTTCCATCTTGACACAGCATGGCAGGAAGCCAAAGGCTGCCGGTACTCCGACCTCGGGATGCGGTTTCGCTCGAGCCGGGGAGGTCGGGGGAAGGAGGGTCGGTCCCTATCTCACAGCTTGGGAAAACAGAGCAGCGCATCTACCCAGGCGGAGCAGAAGGCATTTCACACCCTAGAAACGTGCTAGAAAAAACCGAAGAGAAGTGCATTTGCATCCCGATCAGGTACAATGGGACACCTGCGGGTGACAACTGAACATAAGCCTCGGCTCGACGGGTTCACACAAGACATCTGTTGTGTTAGTAAGGTTTAGAAGCAAAGATTATGTGTGTTTCCCAACAGCTTTTATTTACCCTTTAAATAAAGTCCAAAACCTGCTGGAGGAGGTCAGATGAGAAGTGCAGGCATGAACGCCTGGCTAGCAAGGGTTTTTTTTCCCCCGATTATTAAATTCCAATTTCGATCCTCTGGAGCAGGCTTGGGAACAACACAACAAGTTAATCACAGGCGCAAAACAGCTTGGGGGTTAGAAAAGCATCCCTAAGGCCAATTTTAAAAAGGCAGGAGGAGCAGGGAAACCCCTCGATGCCTCAAATAGCACATGCTTACGCAGATCTGGGGATGGAGAAGCTGCACCGAGTTTTGGATGGTCTTACCAGACCACTTGGTAATATTATAAATATTGAAATGCATCTACTTTGCTAGATCCTCGTTTTCTAAACGTTTGAGCAGCAGAAATAACCATCCTCCAAGTTTTCACACCCACGCTGTGTTATTTTTCTTAAGGAAAACAAGGCTAGCAATAAACTCAACTCCCAAAAGGCAAGTCGCCGTCAAAATAACCCTTCGAGCTTGACCTGCCACGGATGCAGATTCTGCTCTTATGGCAGAGGAACAGCGGGCTGGGAATAACCACCCCCGGATTGCAAAGCTGCAAAGTTGCTCCAACATCGAAAAAGGAAAAAGAAACCCAGGCAGTCGGTAAGAGAGAGCTAAAGCATCCCAGCCAGCTCCTATTACCAATTATTCAGCAGATCCACAGGAAAAAATCCCATGCCAGTGTTTTTACTAGTTATTCGAAGTGCAGAACAGAGTGTTTCTGTCCCGTTTGCATTTAGGGGGGATGCAGTAGGTGCTTTCTCACTCGCCCTGGCTCTCCAGGTGCTCTCTGCCTGCACCGAGCTGGGCTTCAGTTTGTACACAGGCTAAAATTAATCTCCGAGCACTCAAAAAGCCGCAGCGAAGGGATTTAAGCAGTCACATCTCGTCCAAAAGTACAGGCAATTCAATTAACTCGCCGGGACAGATCCAGGAGCCCCGTTCTGCTCGGACTGGTCACTGTGAAGGCCAACATGAGCCCCTTGAAGCATCGTATTATGTTTCGCACCCTACAGCCCTCCGGGTCCCGGAGAAGTGCCTTTATATTCCAGCAGCAGAAACGTTTTACAGCGTTCAGAAATTAGGCTAAAGCCCTACCAAGGAGGAATTGCAGCTGCTTAAAATAATACGTAAAGAAACACTAGAAGGGCAATCAAAACAGAGCTCTGCCAGCGCTGATCAAATTTGCCTGGCCCTTCCTAAAAGCTGTGTCTCTGCCAGTTGGCAAAACATTTTATAACTCTTTTCCTCCTCTCAGAGCACTTCAATTTTCCTTCTCTCTCCTCCTGAAATTCTTTAAGAGCCCGCTATTTGTTCTGCTGAAGTAATTATCCACTGCAGTGGAACAAACAGATGAAAAATACCAAATGCAGGCAAAAAAAACCCCACCGGGTTTAAGCACTTCTCGAAGCCCGGTAGGGACATCAGGCAGCCAGCAGCCTGCTCCTGCAAAACCCAGCTCGACCCAAGAAGGTTTTCCTACCTGCAGGCATCTCCCCTGGTCCCATGGACCCCAGTTCACAGGCGTGGGTGGCATCAGTGGTTCCCATCCCGAACTACCTCCGCTTCTCCGCAAGTCTCAGCTGTCTTAAGAAGTGCTTGAACCCGCAGGGTTTTTGACCTGGCTTTTTTTTTTTTTTTTTAAAGTCAACAGATTTTAGGGGGAAAAAAGCCTCCGAGGGAAAGTTCTTGAATGAAAATAAGAGGCCGTGCAATAGTACGGAGTCAGAGCACATTACTCATAAGGGAATGCTCATTTTCACATGCCAGAAAAAATTCTCTCTCCAAACATAATCGTAGAAGCTATGTTCTCACCCGGGGGGAAAAAAAAAAAAAAAAAAAAAGGTGTGTGAAAGGACCCAGCCCTGGCTGGCTGACTGCTTTGGCTGGCAGGAGAAAGGGACTCTGCAGAACAGAACGGTTAATTGCACTTGGCAATCAGGAACTACGGCGTTAATTTAGGGGTGGAAGATAGTAACTGCCTCTAACCCGCTCCAGACTCTTCCTCATACTTTGCAACTGCTTATCCTGCTTGTCAACAGCCCCATCGGCACGGCATGGTAGCATTTATGGAGACATTTAGACCTTTTAGGCTTATTCTCTTACCCAGCTTAAAAAAACCAACCTAGTCCATCAGACGGACACATTTAATAGTAAGTCTTAGGCTGCTTTTCTTGAAAAAAAATTCCTACCTGTATTGGGAAGGATTATTCTTGCATGATGTTTTGTTGTTTGTCTCACGCAGCTGTGCCATCAAGGACTTCAATGGCAGCTTCCCCCTCTCCAGCTTGGCTTTTGCTACTATCAGTCGCTCTACAAAAAGCCCCGAGCCCTTTTCTAGCGATGCGAGAGGAAAAATAAAGCACCGTTTCCTAGGTAGAAGCACGTGATGTTATGAAAGAAACAGCACAGGGAGCGAAAGGTCTGCGGGAGCCACGGGACTCAGGGTGGGGATAGACACCGTTAAATAAGATGACATCTCCAGTCCTCCAAAACTTGCACCAAGTTAGAGCCGATGCATTTGAAAATCAACTGCTGGACAAGTTCAACAATGGGGGGGGAAAAAAAAAAGCAGATTTTAGTCAAAAAAAGAAAACAAAGCCTCTGGGAAACCGAACGATGAGCAATATCCTGTCTGCGCTGCTGCACGAGCATCGCGCCCAGACAGACGAGTGAGACCTCGGGGATACCTGCACCACGCTTTTCTTCTTATCCCTGCAAAACAGGCAATTAGAAGTTCTTTGAAGCACAGCTTTTCCTTTTTTTTCTTTTCT